TATGGTTTCCCATTTATTTTTGTATTTCATTTGCCCGGTATACGTGTTACGGCCGGTGTTATTTATTCGGACATTATTTACTATTTACATGAAAAACGGAACACTCGCGATCCATGAATACGTTACGCACATAGTAAATAAACATAAATAAACTAAATTACTAGAAGAGTTCTTTTATATCATTATATTATAGTTATTTTTACGTGTATCGCAGCAATTCGAAATATCGAGTCGTTTTTCAGCGATGTTGCTTTTCGCCTGGAAAGAATTCTCTCCGCAGGAGAATGTTTCTCTATCTCTCAATGAAGATTCAGTGTACTTTATTTACGAAATGTGTCCCACAAACTTTCCAGATTCCCGAGCGAGCTTTACAAGCTCTGAGAAAGTTCTGAAGAATCCAGTCGAGTGAATCTTCTTAAAGTCTTTCTATATATATATACAAATATTCCCGCGCTTCCTAACGATATTTACATTATCGGGGCGTAAGATAAATAAAAAGCACGAGACCAATATACAGTGATTCGCATTAATATTTGGACACGATATTATTAGAAAAATTATTGCTCCTTNTTTACAAGCTCTGAGAAAGTTCTGAAGAATCCAGTCGAGTGAATCTTCTTAAAGTCTTTCTATATATATATACAAATATTCCCGCGCTTCCTAACGATATTTACATTATCGGGGCGTAAGATAAATAAAAAGCACGAGACCAATATACAGTGATTCGCATTAATATTTGGACACGATATTATTAGAAAAATTATTGCTCCTTTTTACTGTTTACGATAGTATTATTGAATCAATTGTTTTCTCATATAATAAAGCACTTCTTAAAGTAAGTAGAAACATAAATTTTGTTTAATTATTGCACATGTTCGTTTGTATAATAAGCGATAAACAAGATTGTGACAAAATTTAACATCGCAAAAACATTCGGACACGACATCTTAGATGCTAGAGTAAAATACGTCGCTAACACACATTGTCTACAAACAAATTTTATTTGCAAAATTAATGTACAAAATATCCATTGTATAACATAAAACCGACAAAAGAGAAGCAAAAATGATGTATTATTTGTCTTTCCCTAAAATCCGAATGAAAAATAACATTCTATTTGTGAATAAAAAATAATAAATATGGACCAAATAGAGAATGTGGCCTGTGTGTCGAAAGAAAGAATTGAATAAAAGAAAAATATTCGTCCACATATTCTCCCGTTTCTTCTGGTTTAAAAACGGTCTCGTTTAGCTTTTATTTTGGAGCAGGGAGCAAAATTCTCGGTATGCCTCGTTACATCGAGTCTATGTAACGCGCCTTCATGCACTCAGCGAGAGGGAAGTACAAAGATAAGACACTGTATCAAATAACGCGCATAACAACATACTCGAGAATTTAACTATTTATTTGAATTCAACACATTTGTTGTTGTTAGCACAGTTGTCTTAACACATTAATCGAAATAACAAAAACTGAATGAAATTAAAGCAATTTATTCAATAAAATAAAAACTGAGACGTTATTTATGGATATTAAAAACTCTTTTAATTCTCATGAAGTTTACGACTCGCAAGTTTTAATAGACTCAAATCCATCGGAGTAGAAATTAACTTTTAAATTTGAATAAAGAATTCTGTCAGCCAGTTGCAGTGGGGTACATGACAGTTGTATTAAACATTAAAACAATATCTTGTTTAAACTCGTGAACGAAGATACCATTTATGTTGATAAATATTTAGCGCCGATTAAAATAGCTGTTCAACTTTAATTAGAATGAAATATTGTGATGAAATTAAAATANTCTCAATGAAGATTCAGTGTACTTTATTTACGAAATGTGTCCCACAAACTTTCCAGATTCCCGAGCGAGCTTTACAAGCTCTGAGAAAGTTCTGAAGAATCCAGTCGAGTGAATCTTCTTAAAGTCTTTCTATATATATATACAAATATTCCCGCGCTTCCTAACGATATTTACATTATCGGGGCGTAAGATAAATAAAAAGCACGAGACCAATATACAGTGATTCGCATTAATATTTGGACACGATATTATTAGAAAAATTATTGCTCCTTTTTACTGTTTACGATAGTATTATTGAATCAATTGTTTTCTCATATAATAAAGCACTTCTTAAAGTAAGTAGAAACATAAATTTTGTTTAATTATTGCACATGTTCGTTTGTATAATAAGCGATAAACAAGATTGTGACAAAATTTAACATCGCAAAAACATTCGGACACGACATCTTAGATGCTAGAGTAAAATACGTCGCTAACACACATTGTCTACAAACAAATTTTATTTGCAAAATTAATGTACAAAATATCCATTGTATAACATAAAACCGACAAAAGAGAAGCAAAAATGATGTATTATTTGTCTTTCCCTAAAATCCGAATGAAAAATAACATTCTATTTGTGAATAAAAAATAATAAATATGGACCAAATAGAGAATGTGGCCTGTGTGTCGAAAGAAAGAATTGAATAAAAGAAAAATATTCGTCCACATATTCTCCCGTTTCTTCTGGTTTAAAAACGGTCTCGTTTAGCTTTTATTTTGGAGCAGGGAGCAAAATTCTCGGTATGCCTCGTTACATCGAGTCTATGTAACGCGCCTTCATGCACTCAGCGAGAGGGAAGTACAAAGATAAGACACTGTATCAAATAACGCGCATAACAACATACTCGAGAATTTAACTATTTATTTGAATTCAACACATTTGTTGTTGTTAGCACAGTTGTCTTAACACATTAATCGAAATAACAAAAACTGAATGAAATTAAAGCAATTTATTCAATAAAATAAAAACTGAGACGTTATTTATGGATATTAAAAACTCTTTTAATTCTCATGAAGTTTACGACTCGCAAGTTTTAATAGACTCAAATCCATCGGAGTAGAAATTAACTTTTAAATTTGAATAAAGAATTCTGTCAGCCAGTTGCAGTGGGGTACATGACAGTTGTATTAAACATTAAAACAATATCTTGTTTAAACTCGTGAACGAAGATACCATTTATGTTGATAAATATTTAGCGCCGATTAAAATAGCTGTTCAACTTTAATTAGAATGAAATATTGTGATGAAATTAAAATATACTAAAAAATTTAATAATTTATTAATAACGTAATTAAGCCGGTTTATTACATTCACTGCTTCTGCAATAAAAGTCCTATATTACCTCTAAACTACGAACGCTTTTTACTGTGATCAAACTATTATTCAAAGGATAATTATACTCTGTAATTACGAGTTGCATTCCGAGTTGCGTTTAGGAAATCTCTGCTTTGATAAGCGTTAAATACACTTACTGAAATAATAATAATTCATCTGTAGCTCGGAACTGACAGAACGCGAACGAACGCAAAGTAATTTTAATCCACAACAAAATTCTATTGAGAAATCGATGTGAACTTTTATATAATCGCATAAATAAATAAACAAGGCAACAGTTGCAGCTGGGTACAGATAATTCTACATTCAATGCTCAAATATTAAAAATTTTCTGATACAACCTGCACACTCGAGAAGTAACATGAACAATTTATTTATTAGCGCTACTATTTCAAATAGAACTGAATACCGACTTGAGAGCCGATTCCAATTAAAATATTCTTATATAACTATTGTAAGGCCAACTGTAAACTACCGTGTCACGAAACATATGAAATGAAATTGGTCTCGACATATTGAAGCGAAACATTGCGAAAGATAATTAGACGATATATAAATTGTACCATAAATAACCGTGGTAAGAAAAGTTTCGACGACAATAAGCGCATTAATTGATATGCCTCAAGGATAAAGACGGAGAAACAATGAAAGAACAGATGATGAAACCGACGAAAGCGATAGAAAGAGAAGGACAATGTGTAAGCACGCGTGTGAGAAGGAGAAGGAAAAAGAGGGTGTCCCAGTTGGCACGCAAAAATAGTGATCGCGACTGAGTTTTGCCAATTTAAGGAACTGTTTCCCTCGATCCCATTTCTGGAACTCTCGGCGAGGCTACGGAATACCCCATTCTGGAAATCTGTCGTTGCTGCCATCCTTTCTTACCACACCCTCAGTTTGTCAGTCAAAAGGAACGTATTCTGGCGAACTTCGTTGTTACGACCGACTCGTGCAAGTTTCTCCATTACCAGCTCGTATTTTATTAACACAATGCCGAAAATCAATCCCAAAAGTTCTCAAAATCCACAAAATCTACGTTATTTAATCAACGAAATTGAAACTAGAAAGTTAAATTTATCATAATGGATAGTATTTAAACTCTTTCGAATTCCAATCATCCTAGTGAAATTCAGTTTGTTCGAATAGGATAGTAGAGCCGGTTACTGTGGAGTAACCAAATTCTGAGCCTTTAATTTGTTTTTGGAGGCATAATTAACTTCATATTTATAGAATAAGACATATTAAATTCTTTTCATTCTTTCATTTTATTTATTTTTCAATAAAAAATCAACTATTCTTTTAAAGAATATTAAAGAATTTTTCAAAGAATTTAAATTTATTCTTTCACTTTGTCTATTTTTGAATAACGAATTCGTCATCTCTAAGTAAGAATTGAAACATTTCTTTTAGAATATTGCAATCAAAAAATGAATACATAGAGTGCTATAAAGATTGCACTGAAGATCTTTGCAATATGTTTATTACGCCTTTACTGAATTTAAAGTAATTGAGTGTACACACTTGAACTATAATGTGCAAAATCAAATTCTAAAGAAAATAATGAAGTGGAGAATGTAATTGCCTTAATTCTCACGTCAAACAGCTGCAAAGCTCGTTTGCCAATTTTCAGCAATACTTCTAACGATGTATCATTTGTTAAGCGACGCATTTAATGGCTAATAATCGAATGTATCCAATGTAAAAGAAGTCACAAGAATTCAATGATATAGATCGCTCAAATTAAGTCCAAGTGAATGTTTGAACGCTAGTAACGCTATCAAATTTCCGATAAAACGTTTACTCGATTCGTTTAAAGTAACTTACCCCTAAGTGCATCCGCCGTTGTCGCCAGAGGACCTTGCAGAGTACTGCTGTACTGTTGGATTACGCAGTGAAAATCTTCTTTTGGTAAATGTCTCAACGCTTCTTCGGTCTCTAGGCTACAACACATGCCGTTGCACGTCGCTGAAACAAAATCAATAATTAAACAAAATAAAATATTAATCTATACGAAAGAAGATTTTAACCGCTCTGCATAAAATATTCCAGTTACGTGGGAAGTCGCGCATTCGTCATTCTCGCGAATTACTGCAGCAGAAACAGTGTTTTAAAATCAACGGGGTTGTAATAAATCACACGTGCATCCGTGTAGAAGTACATACAAAGGGGAAAAGGAAATTTTCGTGCGGATCTTCATGCACGAAAAATATTTTTCCTCTTTTATTAATTATAATATGTTTTAACTCTTCTAATGTCTCTTTACGATTTTGTATCTAATCTATTCATGTTTATCATAAATAAACAAAATCCGCAGTCTAGTAATTACCAAGCATGTTAGTTTAATCGTAGAATGATTCTGTTACTCTGTAAAATGACAGAACTTCAAGTAAGCCACCGCAGCTCGTGAAAAGACGTAAGTTTACGACATCACCCGTGGATGTGTTCATTTCATTAAGATTCTATTTTAAAAACCGAGTCTTCGTGTTCAAGATTTTTATAATTCCAATAACTGTAAAAGGAAAAAATCAAAAACCAGTAATACTGGCTGGTTCGGTAATTTTAGTTTTAATTCGAATAGCCAAGATTCTATTGCAATTTGAAAATTACTAAAACTTTCGCATTCGCACGCTCGTACAAGCAAATTTTGCTTCCCACTTTCCAAAATTCTTATACTGACAGAATTTCGAGGGATAAAGTTAAGCGTCGTCGAAACACGCAGCGACGCGTCGCGACACGACAGTCTCCTCGTGAAACGTTGATCGATCGCGATAATAACGACCAACGATTATAATGATTATTGAACGGACCTTTTTGCAGATGAAATTGTCGTTCGCCGGAAACGCGAAGAGAAGGTTTCGCGTCTCGAAACTCGACCTCGACTCGTCGTCTCATACAATTACGACACGAAGAGGACGATTGCTCGATAAAATAGGATAGACTGACATCTATGTCGCGGAGGTCACGGACGGGGACAAATAGAACGGGGCTAACGGGATCCTCAAGAGGTCCTGGCGCGTTCCAATAGGTCCTTTTGGCCTCGTTCTAGGTTTCAAACCACCTCTTTCTATTCGCCGCCGATCGTCTGTCCTCGCTGCAATTGTACGTGTGCCCCATTTCGCCAAACTTATTGCACCCCGCGCACACGATTTGCATACTTGCACGCGCCACGCAAACAACCGATTTCCTCCAATCGCTCTTAACAGTGCTGGGCAAAATATTATTTCAAATTGTACATACTTATTTTTATTCGAATATCAAATACACTCGTTACTCAATTTATGCGGCACTTTTTTACGCGATCTGAATTTACGCAACCAGCAAATCCTGGTAAATCTCTTGAATCAGGCGAGACATTAGAAAGCGCTGTTCCGGACATCGATCTAAACATTCGACGAGCCTTCCGATTTCAACAAAATTTAATGAAATATTGCAATATATATTAGCAATTATATGAAAACTTAGTAAACGAAAATATTGAGGAAGAATTGTCCGAAAATATTTACATTAACAACGAAAATAAAGTCAAACTTCCGAATATTAGGTTAAATTAATTTAAATTTATATAAGTTTATAAGTTAAATTTATATTCTGAGTGTTCGATGAAAACGCAAACAAAATCGCAAAACATTGTGCGAAAACTGGCGTACACGATGAGATCATTGTATAAAAATGTGTCCCACAGAAAATAAAATGTACAAAGTTCATCGTACAGAATTTGTATCTTCGCAAAGATGTAATATCGTATATTTGTTTTTAATGAGGTGATTCCGTTTGCTGAGCGCGTCGATAGAAAAAAATCTAACACATCAGAAGAACATGAATTATCTCATGCATCAAGAGATGCGATCGCTTCTTCTGCAATTTCATTCAATTCTCCTCGAGTTTCGTTTAACAAGCTTCACGCAACGGAAATTGGAAAACTAACTGACGCCTGTTATCGACGACATGTTCGTAAAACTGCAACTACAATCTATGAAACGATTGGTTTGATATTTTTACAAATATAGCGTGGGATTGCTTTTGATACCTCAAATACTTTTTGAACTGCGAATGATCGAAGTTAATTTTTCAACGTGTTAAGTGACTTTTCGATTTTATCTACTGCCATTTCTACAAATGATCGAATTTTTTAAAAATCCTATACCATCTTTTAGATAATACCATCTAATTTAAGAATACAATACAATTTTTTTGATAAAGATACTTGCAACTTTTGTCAACAGCGGCGGTAATCCAACATATTTGATTAATTAATTATCATTAATTTTCTATGACAAAAATTCTCGAAAACAGCAAATGTTTGATAAAACAATACATCCTGATCTTTTGTTAAGTACAAAGTGCAATAAATATTCACCGTTAATGGATTAAATACTGATAACAGAAAAATAATGTTTTATTCATCCATAGATTTAATAAGATTTAATAAGACAAAGAGTTAATTAAGAATCGTATTTAACACTAAAAATTGCTAAAATTATAAAGACTCTTTCCTAGGAAATAATGGCATAAATTTCTTAATTAAAGTATACATTGCAAATCAAAATTGTGGAAAGTCTAAATAAATTCGATCTTACCATTCTTATGGAACAACATACATTAGTCAGTTTTAATGCTCAGTAGGTTAATTGTTAACCAATTCAGAGAAATGTACTATGTTCGATACGCTTGATCGGATAAAATTCAACGCTTTTCCACTCGCGCGAATCTTGAATATGATTTCATCCTTCATCCGCGGATACGCCATGAAGAAAAAAGGAACAAAGAGCGAAAACCTTTAGCCGTGAGAACGAAGCCGTTTCAGTCTCGCGACGAACCACACCACACCCTGACGCATCGTAAAGCGTTCGAGACATTCTCACTGTCGGTCCCTTTTATACCCTTTTTTCGTTCCCTTCTATCTTTATCCGTGGCGCCTTCGTCATTTCGAATGATTCAAGACGGAACTCGTCGCACAGGTACAAGAATCGACCGTCCTGGCAACATTAAAAAGAACCGATACGTATCTACGTGTACTGGGTGGCCAGAAATATGTAATCCTATCAGGTGCAAAACCACCAGCAGAAAACGTGAAATGAAGTTTTTCACTAATTAAACATTCCACCTCGTCCATTGGACGCTTAATAATCATTTGAAAAATATAGGGTATATCGAACAGCATCGATTATTTCAAGGTATTTAATAGTTCAGGACTGTAATAATATGGGGTCCTCGATAGTTGCTTGATAATTATTTTGCTCCGCATTATAATTCAACTGAATAGTTTCAAATTTTTATTACACACTCTTTCAGAGGAATGATTGAATAAATTTCTTAACACCGAAACTATCGATCTCTTAACAACTAATCTATAATTGTTTTATAACTATGACCAAATTAAATTTATGCCAACTTCTACGATTTATATTGCAATACATATATGTATGCTCGAACGAAGAAGTTCACCTAAAAATTTCTCATAGAAACATTTTGATAATGTCAGAAATTGTAAAAGGAAAACATCAGAAACCTATGATTTTGACTGATTTGTTAGTGCTAGTATTAATGCAAGCATACGTTAATTATAATAAATGTGATGAAAAGTCTAAATAAATTTAGCCTCGTCACTGTTAGTAGTAACACACGTAGGACAGTTTTAATGCTCGGCACGGCACACTGATTCTTGTTAATTAAATAACTATTGGAGCATAGTATTAAGAATTTCGAGTACTGCTTTGAAACCGAAGCTATGCCGCAGCGCATTTGTTATACTCTCGACATTGACCTTGGCAACAAACATAGTAAAGTCATTATGTCGGCAAGGTGGATCCTATACAACTACCTGACCCGTTCGCATGACTCACCCTCTATATTGCCAAAGTTGGAGCATTCAGGTATAGAGTGGTATGCGTAAAGAAAATCATCCGAAACAAGCAAGATGCGGGAGGTCTCCCAAGCCAATTCTTTCACCAAGTTCACCGTAAATGCTACGGTGAAACCGTAAATTCTACAGGGTGTTTCACGCAACCTTTGATACTCTAAATGCAGTCGTCACACTTAAAGCTTCAAAGAACATTTCCTATATTTGCATAGTTTTCTCAGGAACACGATACATTTTGGTGATAAAAATGTAATGAATAGACTGCAGAATTTTATGGAAAATAATAATTGTTTGCATTGATTTCAGGATACAGGAGATACATAAACATTTAACTTTTACGTTGACAATTTTAACGAGTTGAAAATAGTACAACAGCATCTTCAAATTCTTGAAACGTTCTCATTGTCTCAATTTCATCTGCTTGTTTCAATTACTTACAGTAATAGGTCATGGAAAGTCACTGAAGATCGTGTAAATAAAAATATTATTTCAATTTTTGAACATGCCATAATGAAATTGAAAATTAGACACAGACTGTCGACTTAAATTTTTTAGTAAAATCATAGAACTCTTCTTAATACTTAATCATTCTTATCAAATGATACAAATTTTGTATGAAATATTTTCCAAATATTTCAAATGCAGGAACGAAATGCATCCATATGCTACAGATATGGATAAAATTAGAAATCTACTTGGTAGAGCAAGTGATTCGAGACACAGACATTCGCGTGTGTAAGAAAATATTATTGCACATTTTAAATTTATTATAACAGTTTCGCTAGCATTCTACGATCTTGCAACATTCAGTGCGCGCACAGGCAGAGAGGCAAACCTGGTACTTAAAACTGGTTAACGTAACATGAATTTCATCGTTTTCCTCTTTGAAATCGTTCATAACGGTCGATAGTATTTGCGATAAATTGGTGTGCAGATTTCAAACAAGTAATATACGAGGGTCGATAGACACTAGACAGTTTTTAATTATAGGTGGGCTGCGACGAACGATTCGAGAAATCAATAATTTTACAAAGCCGTTAAACCTTTCAAAGAACGTTGATTAAAAATTCTCCAAATTCTATGAAACGCAAAACATACGATGAATCTGACGCGGGTGAATATGTATTTTGATTAAATTTCCATCGAAAACACGAAAAAATTTCAAACGAATAAAATTCTTCGCCTCCATACCAAAATGTAAAGGTAATCTTAACTTTTTCCAAATGAAAAATGATTTTGTTGTACAATGCCTTCTAATGGTGCAGTAATCTCACTTTTTGACGATCTGCAAAGACAAAATTGTTCGGACTTCGAATAAAATTTATAGAATATCAAAATTACTCATTTCTCGTTAACCCTCTGCGCTCCAAAAGTATTTTCTTTCTTTTAGAATTTGTTACAACATTAAGCTTTAAATAATCTTGCGGCCGATTTTTAGCGGAGTCACTGTACGTTTCGTTGTACATCGTTCCGAAGAATGAGAAATACGAGCTCGACAATAATAATACCAACGAACGACGACGGACAATACGTTAATGTACGGTGCAGTTGTGGCTGTGTTGTCTTTCGACCGAAAAATATCGATTTCTTATTCCCCCGAGAAATCGAACACTTTTTTCCGAATGTCGCGTCATACCGTGACGCGTTCCATAAAACCGGCGTGGAATCGTAAAGTTCCCGTCACAGAAGACGCACCATCGTCCGGGTGTCCTTCCTTTTTGCCTCTCTATGATCCTTTTGTGCACATCGCTGAGAGCACCTTGACCGGCCCGAGGTAGCGCCACAGAGGATACTCAGGTACCAGAGAAAACCTGCTCACAGTTTTCCGCCACGATTTTTCATGATTCGTCGTTAGCAGCCTATTGTTCGCTACTTCCAGTGGGGATATACTTCTGGAACAGCCGCTTACGGATTTATCGGTTTTATTTGGTGCGCGAATGATTCGTCGGCAGAGATGCGTAAGAGGATTCAGAGTGGACCTCTCGGCTCCACTTTATCCATCTTATCTTTTTTTTTCTTTTTCATGCACGTTTTCAACGAGTTCTTCTTTTGTTATCTCGCGGCGAATGTGTGTGTGTTCATTCGATGAATTTGAAGTTTTATCGACACACGTTTTCGTCATCCGATTTGCTAATTATTTTTATATTTCCGAATCAATCAATATATTAACGTCCCAACGTATTGCCGTGAGAATGGGTACAGCAGAGCTTCGGTTTTATTCGAACTAAACTGGAAAACATCAGCATCTCCGGATAATAAAACAGCTATGCTTTATACTTCATTTAAGGCGCCACATTAAATGTTTACCGACTTGTACGATTAATAATATTGTCTGCGGTTCTATCGTAACGTCCTTTTATTTCGCGTGTAATAATTAATGCAAATCTGTATTACATAATAACCACCGTAAAATTCTTATAAGTTATGCCTTGTATAGGCGAACGAGGCGCTCGCAATAATTCTTATGTCGAGAAGTGATCGTAGCAGTCACACATGAAAGAAATCTTAATCTTAAATTCACAATAGAAATTGAATCATTTAATGCTGCAGTTTTTTATAGTTCACGTAATCATAACTACGAAGGATACTTAAATAGCCTATTTCAAGTAGATACAACTCTATGTAAGAGATACGTTCGATAATTTAAATAGAAACGTAATTGTTCTACATTACTTATACATCTGTAATTATGTTTGGGAATTATTACATGTAATTTTATTATATTTAGATATCTAGTATAATAATGCAATCAAATAGCAAACTACAAGTTAAAACAGGTAGAACTAGTAAAGGGTCGTAATAAAAATGTGGATGCACAGCTGAGAAACAATGACAGCAAGTGTGAAATTTAAAAGACGATGCGTATGATTGTAAAGTGACTCCTAGACTGCGGATTTTTATGCGAAATAAAAATTGTTCGCATCAACTGCAAAACATAGAAACTAAATAACAAATTTATTCGTTCATTTATTATTTCAGTAGATTAAAAATAATATGGATATTTTTTTAAATCATTTCAATCTTTCTACTATTTTAAATCGCAACCACCCAAATTCGCTACAAATGCATAAAATCCGCAGGCTAGTGATTTCATAACTGGTCTGTGTGAAACCGAAGTATTTTCAATTGTAACCTTATTAAGAGAATGTTATACATCTCAAGCTAATCCAATCGTGTTAAAATACTAATTAGCATTATCACGAATAGGTACAAAGACAGTGTTATTCACGGACACCCCAGATATTAAATTAAGGGCCCAGACAACAGTCACAAAGCCATTCTCCGCGTAATTTGTCGTTTTAAATTAAGAACATTAACGTCATTGTACTTCAATTGGAGGCTGCCGCGGACGATTATCTCTATCCATTTACTCCATTAGGTGTGATGTACAGCACTTGATGTACGGAAGCAGATAAAACCGGAAGTGCATAAAACCGGAAGCTACATCAGTGACCCTTCTCCCTCGATTCGACAAGTGGTTACAGACGTGTAAAATGGGTTAGGATAGGGATAGGATCGTGCACAGAGAAAAAGAGAGAGAGAGAGAGAGAAAGAGAAAATAGAGAACCGTTGGCTCATTCAGGTTTCTCGCGACCAGTAATAGCACTCCAGAAATCGGTACGCGATCGGTATCGCGGATAATACCATTTACGACTTGGTTTCACAGTCTTTACGACGTCCGAACCTGTTCGTGATATGCGAACTTTCTCCATACGTGACCGCTCAATTGCGTAGCCACGCTACGTCACAAACTATTGTATTGTTGGACGCGAGAAGAGCTTCGGCGAGAAATGTCAGATTCGAGAAAAACGTCTGCAAGCATGAAAACTAAAGTTTGCCAACATTTAACAAAGTTGACTCATCATCTTGATACAGTTCAAATAGTATAGTATATATTAGTAGTTATATGTAGTATATTATTATAGTATTATTATATATATATATATATTATTATAGTATATATTATAGTTATATAGTATAGTATTTATCAATGTACATAAAGTGAATGCATACAATAGGATAAATCATAAAGTGAGTACCTAACTGGAACGAAAACGAACCTACTTGTATGTACTTTAATCTTCGAATATACATAGAATCTTTCAATAGAGCTCGGATCTTGACAATGAGGGGCAACAATAGGATCAATTCAATGACAAACTCATTAATACTAATATGCATCAATTCGAGAGTGTTATTCTCTAAAGTGGGACACCGTCGTTTTTCAGATATTCTATTGACATGCTTGGCTGAAACTTCTTCAAGGACCTGCGTCGGTGACCTACGTGGGAAAATGAAGACACGGGGTGTCACCCTGAACTCGTCCCTTTTGATCTCTACACAAGGAACAATGTCTTTCACGAACTTCAGTATTTACTTAGTAGGGAATTGCACAATCGTATATGGCACCCGCCTTTTGTGCTTTGAGAGAGAGAGTCGCGCCTCACTCACCTTTTTAAGCTTTTATTTTCTGAACTTTTTTTTTGGACTTTTATTTCAGACTTTTCAAACTTTTATCGTGAACTTAATATATCAAATTGTGTTCTCTTATATTGTCAAATGGGTTAATTATTAAACGTAAGAAAATTCGCGCCTATGATTGAATATAATACTGTCCACCATAATTGAAACTTCATTTCGGGTTTCACAGACCCAAAGAGAACAGCAGTGTTAGAAACATTGTCCGCTGTGATGTTCCAAAAAACGTCACCTAAGGTCACGCTACACCGCAACTAATTTCATCTAGGGGCACATCGACACGCTGATGCTGAGATATGATAATGATATGATAGCCACGCTGGGGCTGCCTCATCCATTGAGCATAGTAGGACTCGCTAAAAAATTGCAGTAGGTATTCATCTCGAAAGTTTTTCGATGAAATATCCTTTGAAAAGTTGTACGAATTTCTATCAGCGCGTTCGTTCGCGCCGTTCAAGTTTGTATTTAGTTGATCACGTAATGCAATTTCACATACGCAATTAACCAAATGGTACTCGATACGGTGTAGAAGTCTTAATTGCCAATAGATTCGAACTGAACGATTGGAATGAAAATTCGAACGAACATTGAATTATTCTGTGACAGGTAAATAAGTTAATTACATTTAGAAAAACAGATCTACAATTAGTAAAGTCATTATAGAAGTGGTAGCAGAATTTGTACAGGCTGTTTTCGGTTTCCTATTATAATTTTCTAATATTATAAAACAATGAATTATGAAATATTTTAGGACACGTGAATAAGTAGATAGAAGTAGACAACAAACAATCGATGACTTGACAAATTTAATTTGGTATTCTATAGCTATACAAAATCTTTCAATTGCTCGCCCTGCATCAGAATTTTAACTCTTAAAATTCAACTTCGACCACAAGGTAATAAATTTTTTCTACACTTTTATGCACATGGTAATATTCACACGCATAATTACATTCGTCTCCCCTCTACGAAACAATATCGGGAAATAGAACCAAATTAACAGAAAAGTGGTACCTTACGCGTGCACTAAAGTATACACAATTTACTCGTAAATATCTACAATAGATAACAAACGTCAAAAGTTAAATAAGCAATTCCGTTTGAATTGAACCGAAGATAAGGGTTAGGAGCTCGGAGTATCAGATGACCATCATGGAAGACAGATATACCGGTCTCACGACAATTGAGGCGGGTTTTTGCAAGAAGTACTTAAATGCTATTTGATGTAATAACATTAAGTACCGTTTAGTGTAACGACACTCGAGAGCCATTAAATAAATTTCATAATTAGAATCAGGCGGGTATAATAATCAAGATACCTAATTGATTTCGTTCAGCGCGAATCGCAAACCTGTTCAATTTCTCCCGTTCGGTAACCTCGAAAACGTAAAAATCTCGCCGCGCGATCATTCGATCGCTCTAATCGAATAGTCTTTCAAATCCGTCGAAACTATATAGAACCGAGTGTTACCACTTACTTTTAGCAATATTCTCCGGTGTGCTTGGCTTCACGGGCACGATCGTGATTTTCTTGCTTTCGAAGAAAGGCTTGACGCGCTCACAGTCTGGCGCGAAATCCGCCACGGCCCACGAGTCTTCGGCGGATCGTGTCGATCGAGACGACACGAAATCGGACCGGCTGCACAACAGTATCAGGATGGACACAGGTGCCAGGACCGCGTGACGATGTCTCCGCATTACTCTCATTTTGGTGAAATAACGTCGAACTTGGGGCCGGTTTGCGTGAACGGCGAGATGAATCGAAGGAAAAAGGGAAACCAAGAATAAACGAGCGGCAGCGATACCGGCAAGTTCCGTAAATCGTGATTGCTGGTTGAGAGGGGGGGGGGGGGAAGAGAGGACGGAACACGAGCAGCAGCGAGACGATTCAATTCCACCTCCTCCTCCTTCGTCGTGTATTCGGCACGATCGTTCGAAGAGTCATCAACCGCCGGGACGAGACGCGGCTTCCTTCCCCTTTCCTCTTCGTTTCGCGAATCAGCCGCGCGCTGTCAAACGTCACGAGGATACAGATGACGGCGGGTGTTACTCGGTGATCTCGAGGAGCACGAGACGTGCATTTGATGCGATCACGGTGGACGGACAGACGAGACGACGACGGTTATAGTAATCACGACATGCACTGTCGAGACTCGAGACCGAGCGCAACACCGTGTTATGGCCCGCACACATGCACATCCGCCGACCACTCTCGGTACACCACAATAATAAGCACACACATGCACGCACGTTTGATCGCACGCAAGCAAGCATGCATGCATGCACCACGCGACACGCGTTCCACGAGTATCTCGATGCGACTGAACCTGACTAAACCGAGAGCGGCACCGCGCGTGTATTCGCGATTCGAGATTCGACCGACCGGCGCTCTCCCACTATTCGCCTATTCGCCAGCTATCCTATCCCCTCTACTGTCCAACCTCGCATTAGTTCGAATCCAACTGCTTATCCACCACACTGCGACTGCTTACCTTACCAAACAACGGAGCATGCTCGTTTTCCGCGAGCACGTCGTGTGTCGCCACTGATCACTGCCTCGAAACCTGATTTTTAGATTCGCGAAACTCGAATCTGGAACCTTGTGAAATCTCGATCGAATCAAATTATTTATTGAATATAATTAGATAAATATATAAGTAATGTATTGGTAAAATGGTTCCAGTTTTGAGAACTCCAAACTTTTTGATTTTTTTATTATAATTGTGCAATATATGTATGCATAATTTCCTAAAACAGAATCGCACACTAAGCTTGATCCAGATCCGACTTAGTGGTGTCACTATTATCGAGAAGCTTTATAATCGTTAACATTATATATAGAATATCCAAAATGCACTTAATCCGTGAATGTATTATAAAAGATTCCTTAGGAGCTGTTATGGAAATATCAAATACGATATTACTAATAAAGTACGAAATTTATTCATCGAAATAGATAAAAATGTAGGAATACCGTCGAAAGCAGTATAACAAGTATTTTATGTACAGTCATTTGGATAAATAATTAAATAAATGTAATTTGAGTTCTTGTTTGATTCACTTGCCACACATTTAGGGCCTCGTATTCTTCGATACAGTCATTGACTTGATCAGGCTTGAATCCTTTGTTTGTGCACCGTTCTAAAATGTCTGATACTTTAACAGTTTTTTTGTCACCGGCTAATTCCTTAATGAGATGGAAAATTCGGTTCATTGGATTCTGATTTGTATTCGTCGACAGTATTTCAGAATAATTAATAGAATGTTTCGACATCTCGATCAATCTATTCGCCTCCATTACATCCGCCTTTTCAACAGTATTTGTTAATCTTAAACGCGCCAATGCAGTAGATAAACGCAATAAAGCCAGTAAGTTACGTGCAGAGGTGAATGTTCTGTCCTGACTATTGCGAGCCGCCCTTCTCATTTCCACATAGGATTCTAAAAATTATTATGTATAAATAATATCGTCAACGTTATCATATAAGCAATTATACTTACCAACTATATACTCTGTTAAATCTTCGGGGACAACAGGCTGCTTCGTTTTACACAAGTTGATGTACTTCCTGATTAAATTCATATCTAATGCTTGCGACTCCATGGGAGGCTGAATACAATGTTGATGAACATAAGTTATATGTTGAGCCATTCTGAAAAATATACCTTTGTTAAAATCAATATTTATACAAAAATTTAATTTCTTGTTCTTATCGAATCATTTAACTTTAGAATGTCCTGAAATGTAAATCATATGCAGTATCATTTACTAACTTTAAATCATTGCTACGATCAGCTCGATCCTGAATTAACCATAACAGATCAAACCTAGATAGTAAGGCAGCAGGTAACTGAATGTTCTGTTCAACTGTTCTTTTTGGATTGTATCTGCCATATGCAGGATTTGCCGCGGCTAATATAGAAACTCTTGCATTTAAACGAGCCGTAATTCCCGCTTTGGCAATAGATATTGTTTGTTGTTCCATCACTTCGTGGATAGCTGTACGATCTGCGTCTGCCATTTTATCAAATTCATCAATACAACAAACACCTTCGTCAGCTAATACCAAAGCCCCTCCTTCAAGCATCATTTGACCAGTTAAAGGATCTTTCATAACTGATGCAGTTAAGCCAACTCCCGAAGAACCTCTGCCAGTTGTATACTGAGATCGCGGCGCCAACCTTGTTATAAATGAAAGCAACTGAGATTTTGCAACTCCAGGATCACCCATTAAACAAATATTAATATTTCCTGTAAATAACAAACACATTGAAAAGAAACGAACAAAAAAGAAACACTGGTGCAACGTTAATTATAAATATATCTAAAACAACCTCTGATTTTAATGTCCTCTCGATGTTTATCCGTCCCACCAACGAGAAGTAATAACAGCGCTTTTTTAACATCTTCAAGCCCATAAATTTCCGGAGCTATGGAACGAGCCAATTTGCCATAAAAATCGTCTTCGATTAATAAAGACAATTCTTCGTCAGTCAATTCAGCAGTAGTATCATCAGCAGATTGCATATTAGTAAGGCAAACGATTTTCTAAACCATTCAAAGTTTCCATGTTTACTTACAGTTATATAAAAAGCCATAACGAACAATATTGCAAATTATAAATACATACGTGTGCATCTAGATAAGTTTCATTCAAAAGAGCAGCTCCAGCTCTAGCACTAAACCCTGATTTTATGATTGGTAGGAAAATACCTGTAATAAGTACATGATCTCCAGGTAAACACTTTCTTGTTGTTTCACCCCTGCAATACACTGTTAAAGTACGTGGAATATGACCCACAGGAACTTGATCACTCTATAATAATTGTTGCAATTATTATCAAATAATTAAATAATTAATAATTAATAATCGATTCAAAATTTACATGTTCTTGTATTTTTATTTCTTGAAATTTGACAAATTTTGATCCTCTTGTTTGCATTTCTAATACACCTCCAGATTTATTTATACGACAATCATCACTGGGACATATTCGTATTGGCATATATTTAAGAGATTGTACCTGAAAATGTCAGTTATAGTTAAAGTTTATTTAGTATTATAACATCAAGAGTTTTTAACTTCTTACTGGTTGGAATGTTTCAGCACCACATTGATCACATGTATATGTAGCAACAACAAGTAAAGGCATTACATCGCTAGATCTTGTTACTATACCTCGTACAGTAACTAGTTTTCCTATCTTATCTGCTTTAATGTCCCTCACAGAATATGCTTTCGCTGCATCAAAATCTTTGAAATATACTTCACTAAAATGGAGATAAAATAAAAATTAATGAAAATATTATGAATGATATACATACATGCACATTAGAATAAAATTAAATGATCAATAATAATATTACAAGCGTCTCATAAGTTCTGGTGCATATTTATTTCTTGAATCATGTTGTTCACCAAGATGTTTATTACGACTTTCCATCAATAATCTATGTTCGATATACACATCTAAAGCATCTTTTGGTGGTACAGATTTTGTTTTAAAGTCAGGCAACATTTCCTGAATGAGCTATGTACATATAAAAATACATATTTTAATTCGTAATCAAATGTTTATAATGTTCCAATAGGAAATATATACTCACATCCAAAAGTAAATTTACATATCTTCGAGTATTACTTGTTATTGATTCTGCTAATTCATCATCAAATTCATGAACATCATCTAACTCTATTGTAAGTTCCACTTGTTCACGATGAGCAATATTAGTGAGTTGCTGTTTATATTTGAATAATTTTTCACCAGTTGTCTTATCCATTACAATAAATTCCGTCAAGAAAGTTTTCAGTTGTTCTAATACAATACAAAAATATTAAGCAATATATCACACACATTTAAATCTTAATAATAATATTACCAGCAGTTGAAATTCTTGATACTACAATGTCAAATAATACTTACCCCTAACTTTTGCATAATCCTTTGATATTTTTGATACCATTTTTATAAAATTACTTGTAGAAGTACTCTAAAATTGAATTTCTTATTCCTCTCTTAATGAAATTAACCCACTATACAACAATATCAAAAGCGACTGTTATTACCAGTTATGAAGTTATTACATACACCTAAGTCTCATTTTCGGTCCTCGGTCGATGTGTTCTTCCCGCCTAAACCAAACCGGAAGTTTACAACACATCGATACGTAAATCGATAATTCTGTTGCCTAAAATTCAAAAATCGAAAAATAAGTTCCAATTAACAATTGAATAGTTCGTCAAATTTTATCACTTAGAATATATAAGAATGTTAAAAGTATAATGAAGCAGAAACTTTAGTAAAAATTAGTATTAAAATGTATTATACATACCTTAGACTTTAGATGATACATACAAGATATTCCAAAATTATGTTACTTCCGAGGAATGAAGGATTTCTGAGGCCATTTGAAGTAATTTTTTCCTTAGTTTGTAAATTAGTTTAGTACATTTTTCCAAAGCCTTAGCGGCTTTGTTTACGAGTTATTAACGAAAAACAGTGACCAATGAAAGGTGAGCTCAACTGGCACAAGACGGCTGAGCCAATGAGCGGTCGAAGCCCAGTTCTGCTCATTGGCCGTTTTGTGCCAGCTGATCACGTTTCTCATTGGTCACTGTTATTTATTAATAACTAGTAAACAATGCCATGGATTGTATTTACGCTAAGGAAAAAATTACTTCAAATGACTTCAGGAATCTCTCATTTCTCGGAAATAACATAATTTTGAGACACTCTATATATGGTCTGAAGTACAGATATGCATAAGAGAAATACTACACATTACACACATATAAATTTTACTTATTTAATTTAAATAATTTAAACTATATATATATATATATATATATATATATAATTTTAAATATTATTTACATATGTATGTATTATATACATGTGGATATACTATACATATACTTACGTATGTACTTCATTGCATGTATGCATNCATACACCTAAGTCTCATTTTCGGTCCTCGGTCGATGTGTTCTTCCCGCCTAAACCAAACCGGAAGTTTACAACACATCGATACGTAAATCGATAATTCTGTTGCCTAAAATTCAAAAATCGAAAAATAAGTTCCAATTAACAATTGAATAGTTCGTCAAATTTTATCACTTAGAATATATAAGAATGTTAAAAGTATAATGAAGCAGAAACTTTAGTAAAAATTAGTATTAAAATGTATTATACATACCTTAGACTTTAGATGATACATACAAGATATTCCAAAATTATGTTACTTCCGAGGAATGAAGGATTTCTGAGGCCATTTGAAGTAATTTTTTCCTTAGTTTGTAAATTAGTTTAGTACATTTTTCCAAAGCCTTAGCGGCTTTGTTTACGAGTTATTAACGAAAAACAGTGACCAATGAAAGGTGAGCTCAACTGGCACAAGACGGCTGAGCCAATGAGCGGTCGAAGCCCAGTTCTGCTCATTGGCCGTTTTGTGCCAGCTGATCACGTTTCTCATTGGTCACTGTTATTTATTAATAACTAGTAAACAATGCCATGGATTGTATTTACGCTAAGGAAAAAATTACTTCAAATGACTTCAGGAATCTCTCATTTCTCGGAAATAACATAATTTTGAGACACTCTATATATGGTCTGAAGTACAGATATGCATAAGAGAAATACTACACATTACACACATATAAATTTTACTTATTTAATTTAAATAATTTAAACTATATATATATATATATATATATATATATAATTTTAAATATTATTTACATATGTATGTATTATATACATGTGGATATACTATACATATACTTACGTATGTACTTCATTGCATGTATGCATGATGACGGTATGCAACTTGTATATGTATGCACACATGCATGCCAATAGGAGGTTAAGATTTTAGGATTTACATCACATGGTTCAGTTAACTTTTCAAACAACATTAAATTAAGAAAATGGGAAAAGCGAAGAAAGTGAAAGTTTCCAAAGGTGAAACAAAACAACTAAAAATGGCATTGGGAGATCAAATGGAAGATGAAAAAACAGTAAAACCAAAAAATAGGCATAAAATCAGAATTCGAGATGATGAAGATGAAAAGGTTAGATGTTTATGATTTTACACAATGCAAAAAAATATTACATATGAATATTATTTTCACATTTTATTAAATAGAATAATAATTACTTTTGTATTTCAACTTAATATGTATAAGCCATAAATTAATTTTAATTTTACTCGTTAATATAATGTAATTATGTTTTATAGTTTGTGGATTCTTCTCTTACAAAGAAGATTTTGTCTCAAGCCAGGAAACAACAGATTGAAATAGAGGAAGAGTCTGGAATAGGAATGACAAAAAAATCAGTAAAGCAACCGACAGTAAAACTTGATCCAGAATTTAGCGATACAGAAGAAGAACTTAGTGATAATGAACATGATAATTCGAAGTTTTACGAAAACATTGTAATTAATGAAGAAGACGAGCGTGCTATACAAATGTTCATGTCTAAAGATGCTGCACCAATGAGAACATTAGCTGACATAATATTAGAAAAATTAACAGAAAAGAAAACAGAAATTGAAAGTCAATTTTCAGAAGTAGATTCTATGCAAATGCAAGAGTTAGATCCACGAGTAAAATCAATGTATGAAGGTGTTCGAGATGTTTTAGTAAAATATCGCAGTGGAAAATTACCTAAAGCATTTAAAATTGTACCCACCTTAAGGAATTGGGAACAAATATTATATATTACAGACCCACCAAAGTGGTCAGCTGCAGCAATGTACCAAGCTACTAGAATATTTGCATCTAATCTTAAAGAAAAGATGGCACAAAGGTTTTATAATTTGGTATTGTTACCACGAATTAGAGATGACTTAGCAGAGTATAAGAGATTAAACTTTCATCTATATCAAGCATTACGAAAGGCATTATTTAAACCTGCTGGTTTTATGAAAGGGATTTTACTTCCATTATTAGAATCTGGAACCTGTACATTAAGAGAAGCTGTTATTATTGGATCTGTAATTGCTAAGAATTCAATTCCAATTTTACATTCTTCTGCAGCAGTATTAAAGATTGCAGAAATGGATTACACAGGAGCAAATAGTATTTTTCTCAGAATATTTCTAGATAAAAAGTATGCACTTCCATACAGAGTCATAGATGGCCTTGTGTTTCACTTCTTGAGGTAACGCTAGTCTGTTTTCAGTTATATAATCATAGTTATTATTGTATTTTAATAATAAGTTTTTCTATAGGTTTAAGAGAGATCCCAGAGAATTACCAGTTTTATGGCATCAAGCATTACTAACATTTGTACAGCGTTATAAGAGTGATATCAGTTCGGAACAAAAAGAGGCTTTATTGGAATTATTAAAAAAGCAATCTCATCATTCAATCACTCCCGAAGTACGAAGAGAATTACAACATGCTAAATGTAGGGATTTAGAAATTACTGAATCTATACCAGAACCAATGGTTTGCTGAGAGTTTAACTTTATAAAAGTTTATATTATGAAATATGTAATTTAATATTGTTTTATTAATCTTTAATAAAACAAAGATTCTCCTAACATACGTTTCCTAAAAAGGTTTATTAATCGCAAGTGTTTAGGATCCTTTCATA